GAGACGCTGAGAAGCTGACCGAAGTCCAACCGTTGAACCGGAGGAGAAGTTTGCGCATCGCGCAGGAGATTGTACACATTGCGTTGAGTGCATTTCTCCTGCGGTACGGGCTCCGAAACCTGATCGGCGCCAAGAAAGTAATTTCCCAGAGGCGCTAGTGCTGGGATGTCCACCTTCCGCATGCCATGCTCGTCAGGCTCGCCAACCCGGGGAAGAACTCCTTCGTTCGGCGCCGCCGTCTGGCAGCGGTCGTGGACGATCGGACCTACACGACACATGATGTCCGTGATGACGAGGATAGGCATGTGCTGCATTAACAATGGGGGACACGGGGGACATGAAAGCATGGGTGAAGGTAGAGCGTGGGAAGTTGACAAAGTTTTCTTGGGTTCTACCGTCGTGTTTTCGCCTGACGTATTCAACAGACAGTTCACAAACGAATCTGAGACGGATACGCCAGCAATAGACTTAACACAGACTGCCAAGTTGTTCTAACCCGGTGCCCATTTATTGCAGTTAAAAGCCTTTCGAGATGAGGGTCACACACATGTTGTGTAGACAACCCCGAGGTCGTGGACGCTGTTTGCGTACTTGCCGAGAAGAGTCCAACGGGGGAATGTGCGAGACAAGACGAGGAAAAATTGCAAACTTTTCCGAAGAGGTGACACAATTCCATGCCTCCCTTTGAGAACAGCACATGTGCAGACTTCGATTCCTCCCTTTGACAACAGTACATGTGCAGACTTCGATTCCGACTTGATTTTTTGGACAACACTAGATTTCAGATAAAAAAAGCGACACAGGGTCTGGCCGTGCGCACGACCAACTGTTCCCAGAATTAACACTGGTGCGAGCATTGGAGTTGGAGTCGATAAGATATTATGTCTACATCCTATCCTACGGCCTGCTTGATTGATGGACATATTTTCTTCGTGCATGCTTTGAGTTGTGTTAGAAGTAGCGCGTTGGTGGCGTTCTATACAATATTTATCTCTGGCTTGGGCACAACACATGCGCACTCCGGGCCTCCAAGAGCGAGTGGGGCAACCAGTTCAATCGATTGGAGTCGTGTTTACTGCTCATTACAACACAGAGAAACATCATTTCCTGGAAACGTTCTACATCTTAAATGTGCACCAAAATTCTCCCAAAGACCATGCTTCCTGTGCATGTACACGGTCTCGTGACCACCTGTGGATTGTGCATATCTAGCTTGGCGGCTTGGGGGTATTTGGAGGGAAGCGGTGGCCTATGTGGCAAACGCGAGCTTTCGGCAGGTGGCTAGGCTTGACACGAAAGATTGGATGAAAAAAAGCTGCAGCCGCTCTGTGAAAAAACAAGGGGGTCCTTGTTTGGGATATTGATGCACGCACCTGTTGTAGACACAGGTGGCAACATGTTTCGAAATGGCGAATTGTTGGACGCATGTTATTTTTGTGCTACGCTGTTTCCGCATTTGGAGA